GCAGGAATGTGTAAGTCGTGGAAAGAAGTCAATATTGTGACAAATATTTGTGATATTTAATGATTTTATATAATGATAGAAACGTATTCTTTTGTTTATTTTATATATTTTTACATTTGAAGTTTTGAAATTTCCCAGTTGAACCCAGACCTGACTTGACTTTCTATTGAAATCTGTGATGTCATTAAGGTGATGTACTCACGATCTGATTGGTTTCCTTGAGGAGGCGGGGTTTACCAAGACTGTTATTATTCTTCAGACTAGATTATTCTCCCAAACTTCAGTAAAATAACAAAACAGAGGGTTTTTTTTAAGAAAAAATATATATTTTCACATCAACCTGAGGTTTCCACCTGTGGACGACACACGTGTTTCCACACCGTATCACATTGCAGTGAAACAAACATCCTTTAATTACGTTACATTACAATCACCACCACCGCCGCCGCCGCCTCCGCCGCCGCTGCTGCAAGACGGAAGGAAAACAAAGATTACCACTCAGAATAAAAACCTCTCATCTCCGTCCGCCACTTAATTGATCCACTTAAGACTCTGAACCAGCCTTCGCTGCGAGGGTATAATCAGTGGCTGAGACAGACGCCCGTCAAGACCCCCCTTCCTGCGAGACCACTTTGTTGTTCAGCCGTTTTCTTGCCGCGTGCGTTGGCCGCGGCCTGTTTGTGTTGCGACACATTAAAGAGTCTTTCGCCTTTGATGTTGGGCTGAAACACTGTTCTTGCCTGGGCTCTAATAATCAGCTCAGATGAATTCATCCAGAGCGTGTGGAGCGGTACAGAGGCAGCGTTAGTCAACGCAGTCGGACGAGTCAACAAGGAAATCTAATGCAATCGGAGGAAACAACCCTGCAGTGAACACAACACCAGTGAACCATGGGATATTTCATTACCGCAGACGCCGTGCCACGCCGAGCTCCGTTGGTGGATGTTCTACCAAGTCCAAAGTCTGACACTTATGGCTGATGAACAGCTTCACACCAACAGGAGGGTTATTCACGCTGTAGTCATCTTCATCTTCATCTTCATCATCATTGAAAACACTTTATTTTGAGTGGATTTTCAGCTCAAATCTTGCTTTAATTTATAACAACATTTACGCTAACATTGTTTGTGATTTTTAGTTAATAATGCTACATTCCTGACATGAATGCTACATTCTTGACATGTTTTTTTTAAAAACAAATTGTTTTACTTCCAACCTGTACACATGATTTTATAGGCCAACGTTTGACTTGAGCTAAATTATTATATTTCTGAAAACTTTAGCATTTGTCACTTACTGTTTAGTGGTTTCTCACTACATTTAGGGTCAACTTTTTTCTTTACCAACATTTTCATTCTACGAGTCATTTTTCAGCCACCCTGATCGTACGTTTGTCGTACGAGTATATATTTTTTGCTCAATGATACTATAAATTTCAAAATTGAAATATTTTTGCAATTCTTTTCCATTTTCTAAACAGATTTTCCCGCTGAACTCTTACATATATTTATTATATTTATTACGATGATATTGTTGTTGAACGATATTTTCATCCGCCGTTCCTAACGACGTTCCTTGAAGATTTACCGTGGTTAAATGATCTAACGGTGTTTTAATGATCAAAGGTCGCTGAGGTTTTACATCACACCGTGGATTTGGCTCCAACACAAACATTTATTAGTTCATTATAATGAAATACATGATGTAGCAGAGCCTGTGCCAACGTGGATAATGTACTGTGTACCATAATATTGAAGTATGAATAATTAAATACCACATTCTATAGGAGCACGCGTTCAATTCCACTCACGTTTAAAAATCAATCACCCGTCGTGTTTCAGTTCAGGTTTAACAAAAGCTTCTTTTTGGTTGCACTAAATAAGAGCAACAGCAGCCACACACTGTGAATATACTGCTCCACGGAGCATCGGTGCCAAGAACTGTTGTGCCATTGGCACCAGTGGAGAAAGTGTTGGCCAGGAACTTAAGAACATTTATTCACGATCTCTCTCTCTGGTCATAAAATGTTACGTAAACAAAACACAAAACACTTCAGTTGTTTTTTTTGTTTGTTTGTTTTTTTGCAGACGTTACTCACACCGGGCCCAGGAGAAAGGTCGCACCTACAGCTGGGCTCAGAACCCCGGCATGGATCACAACTACTCCGGACCTGGAGGGGCGCTGTACGGGCGCCTCTGCTACAGCAGCCACACTTTGCCTGTTTT